TCATATTGGCAGGAAGAGCTAGAAGAACGCATCTTGTCTAGAGTTCATAATATGCAAGATGATTGTCTGGGTCGAACCGTGGATTTGGTACATATCCAGACGTATTACAACTCGTCAAAAGGTTGTAGCGTGTTGCCAAGAGTGGCAAGGCTGTCTGACGATGCTGATTACGATGCCGGCGAAATGTCTGGGAATGTAACAAATTCATGGTCCTACTCTAAAAATGATTATGCAGACTATAGACTCCGGACAATATGCGTCCATCTGGGTCTTCCTGCCAATATGACCAGGTTGCGAAAACAACATCAAACAACTACTTTACTTAATTTGTTGTGCAATATGCCTTATTAACTCGGTTGGTTTGTAGTTTTGATCTCTACCATAAAATATTGCGCTATAAATTTTATAGATGTCGTGAGGCCTACTCCCTTCATATCTTTAAACCAATTATTAGTCCTTGAATTACCTCAAGCAACCTGGGATACCAATAGCCTGTGTCTTGGCTCATCTTTAAGGTTGCTTCTAAGAGGCACATCAATTTGAAGAAGTATATGCACCATATCCTTTCTAAAACTATCTTATATCAATTTTTCGTGTTTGAGTAGAGTTTCATGACTACCAGTAAATCAGTAATACGAAATGTACTCACCATATTTCGTTTAAGGTGATGAAGGATTGGTAGTAGAATTTACCCACAATAATATGAGTAGAGCTGACGTTTCCATTGAATGTGAAATTCTATGGAAATGTCAGCTTTACTCATATTATTGTGGGTAAATTCTACTACCAATCCTTCATCACCTTAAACGAAATAGGGTGAATACATCTCATCTTATATAAAATTGTCATATTTATTCATCTGGCCGGCAATCGGACTGGTCCGATATCCTGATCAAAATAATCGTGCCCTGTCATCAGTATTCTTATTCTAGAAATTCTAATGCCAAAAGTATCATATATCCCACTTATGATTCATGATTCATTATGGAGGATTACTTTTTTCGAGTCGCAATGTGTGGACTGAAATAATCTTGGGCAAAGTATGAAGCAAAGCTCCAATCAAAGGGGAACAATGCTACATTAAGATGAATGAACCGAAAAATAGGAGGATTCTTTCGTGCAAGCAAATTGTCTCCCATAACACATCTCTAGGCATTAAATGTACTTGAAATAATATGCATCCCTACCAATATCAATTTCCATCTATAGTGGTCTCACTTTGTCACACAGCATCGAGCAGATATCGTGTCTGTAGATCTTTCGTTGGTCGGGGTCAAATCGGCTGTGGAACAGCAGGTTAGGCGAAACAAATTGATCCAACACCCTCGTAGTGGCCATCCTTGCGTGCTGTTCGTGACACAGAAAGTGGTCACGAATTTGGTTCGAGGTTTTCCGACGAACATCTCGACAGAAAATCTGTTCCTTTCTTCGTTCTTCATCCGAGACCAGTACTGTTTTATGTTTTCTACCCAACCATTTAGGCCAAAAACGCGACCTAGCCTTATCGTTGGCGCTACGATCACCATCTACGTCAGGTAATTCAATTGGCACGAATAGGTCGTCTGAATAGCAGCCACACGTTTCTTGTATGTAAGATTGCTTTTTATTCGCCACGCAGTCGTCATATGTGTACATGTACTCGAGATAGTTGGCACTCCCGCGGAAATTTGCATACCTGGCAACCAGAGAAGATAGAAAATCGTGAGGCTGGATGAGGAAGTTGTGGGTGGGGGTTGGGTGAGAGGAAAGAGTAGGGTACATAGAGAGGCACATCTATAAATAATGGCTGAAGGAATGGTTACGACTTCATTTTTCAGACGTTAGTCAGAGAGGTTTGGAAGATCGATCATGTTTCCTCACAATGTACATGACTACTTAGGAAGAATATGAGCAAAGTGGTATCTTATCGAAGTGTGGAATTTACTACGAGCTTCAGCCTACTTGTGCTTAAATGTCAAACACTCCTGTTTATTAACTGCTTCCCTTGGAAAAAATAATTATTAACTATTATAATTGTGACTATATAACAATCATGAGCTGAAAAAATCGATGGCATAATAGGTTTTTTACGCCATAATAACTCATTTTTGCATATATGAAAAGAAACTGAGTTCCGATGAATCTCTTGAGATGGCATTGTTGTGGAGACCTTCATTTATAGTGTGAAAGTGAAATATGAACAGATTTGTAGATATATCTTACCTGAAGACGACTGCTGAATTCCGTTGTGATACATTCGTATGGTTTTAATACAACGTCAAAGGTGAGACTGTCAACGAGACATCCATCGTTTGCCAGAAAGAGTTCAAGCTCTAGCGATATTCGAGAAGTAGCATGATGTAAGAAAGCTCAACCCGTATTCACCCAAAACGAGGGAAGATATTTCGTAGACTGCATCAACCTGAACGTCGTATTGAAAATAAACGGCTGCAAAAGACCTGGAACCAGATGATTTTGTAGTTCGACTTACACACTTACAACCTTACATCTCATTATCTCAACCAGGGTTGCTTACGGACGGATGCAGTCTCGATCGTTTATCCTTTAGGAACCAAAGTTAATGTTACATTTTTGTAACCCCTCTGATATAGGAATGGCATTGTCTATGCACTCTGGCACACGCACACACACACACACACGAATAAAAGTATCATGGCCAATATTAAAGGCAATTAACTAAATCATCTGAATCTATCCATCTCTAAACTTTTTTGTTTTTTTTAATAATGAGTATGTACAAAAGGTGAAATAGAGCCGGACAGTCTTCTTGATGTAGTGTTAAGTTGAGAGTTTTACAGAGCTCTGATGATTGCCATCATATGATTGACGAAATGTGAGCTCATTTCAGCAAAAACGAGAGAATATGTTTCGTAGGCTGCGTCAACTTGAACATCGTATTAAAGCCAAACGGTTGAGGTGTACTGGAATATATGAGTTGTCACACCAACCTTAATACAAAAGAAAAGTATCCAGAGCAAAACTTATTTGTAGATAGGAAGAATAAATGGATTGGGATGAATCTTTTACGATAATGTTGCTGAGAAGACTTTAATTTCGTATGAAAGTGCAAGATAAGGAAATTCGAAGGTCGGCCTCATCAGAAGACGATACTAATTTACTTTGTACTGCTTTAATAAGATGCTTAGATTGACGCAGTCTACGAAACATTTTCCCTTATTCGGGTGAAAACAGGCTGAGCAATCGTCAATCATATGATGGACATCGTCAAAGTTAGAACTCATTCTTGTAGAAGCCTCAAGTTAGCACTACTTCAAGAATATTGTCCGGTTCCATCTTAACTTTTGTATATATTATTGCTTGAACTTTCATTTCGCATGAAAGTGTATAAAGAAAAGATTTATATAAATGCCAAACGGTGGCAGTACAACGGGATTCAACCGTCCTCTTCTCGTTCAATCGACCTTCGAATCTATTCTTCATACATTTTCATACAAAATTAAAGTCCAAGCGATATCTCGGGAGCTTAATCGAAATCCTGTTAATCTTCATATATTTTGTATATACTCATTACTAAAAACGAAAAAGTGTGAATATATATAGAGGGTTTATTTGTTTTATTGCCTTTTATATTAGTCGTGGCATTTTCACTCGAATGTGTGTGTGCGCGTATGTCAACGAATATACATAATGACGGTCCTAAATCAGAGTGGTTACAAAAATCTAGTATCAGGTTTGGGTCATCAAGGCTTAATGACTCAAGTAAAAACACTGAACAAGACTGCGTAAGTCCGTGATCGACTCTGGTTGAGCTAATGAAATGTAAGCTTGTAGGAGTGTAATTAAGGATACAAAATCACCAACTATAGGCTCTCATTCTGGAATCATTAAGGTTTAACTACCCAAGGAAAGGCATGGTTGAGATTGTGTAATCTCCTACGGCTGATTTAGTGGTTGAGCTTAACGGGCCTGTTAAACGAATGTTCATTTAAGATATGAAGACCAAGATGTTGTGGTCTTTGGTATGGTCGCAGTCTCCTTTCGATTTATAGAAATAGGTTGACCTCGTTGTCGCAACTTGGTCCTGTTGTCAGGGCGACTTAGTAGAACGCACCTAGTCCGAAGTCTGCCATAGTAGTTGTCAATAGAATGTACCAAGTTCACTATCTGATGCTGGGAATCATGACAACTACTATGGCAGACGACTTCGGACTAGGTGCGTTCTACTAAGTCTCCCTGACAAGAAGGTTAATTTAGTTAGAAATATCAGTTGGTTGACAAGTTAAGTTGCCTTGCTTTAGATGGTGGCTCCACAGACTCTCCATCCTTCAATTTTTCAATCAAATAGAAATAGGTTCAACTAAACTTTATACCAACTGTCATCCCATTAAGCGCATTCCCTAATCTATTCATTTCAATTATCTCTCTTATCTTCCAGCAATTACAACAGGAATAATGGTGAATATAGTTGACATACATAGACTTCTAAACTGTCCTTGAGTGGCACCATTTTACCATTGATGTTAAGTTTTATAAACAA